TACTGAACTGCATGCTTTTTAGAAGAGTGCATCATATAGTATGTGGAGTCTAGCTCAACTTAGGAAATTTTAAATCAACATACATTGAGTACCACTTACCTAAAAGCTTAGAATCAGAAGTACCCCAAACTTGAACAGATTTTGGAATATTTATATAGATTTTACCAGGTGAGCATCGTTAACCTGAAAATCTGAAATCCGAAATGCTTCAAAACCTGAAACCTTTTTCAATTTCAGGTTTTTGGATTAAGGACGATCAAGGTGTATAAAGACACACGTAAGAGAGATGCATGGCTCCTGCCCTACTTCAACCTAACCACTGGGATATGCAAGTGTGATGTGTGGTCCTGGGGTCTAAGGCCCTTATACAAACATATGTATATACACAGATGCACAAATTCAGAGTTCTTCTACCCACCTGCTTTTAAATAAATATGCACTCATACTACACACATCTCTCTGCCCTGTATTTTCACTTAGTGTTCTCCTAAACCACTTTCTAGGTCAATACATAGAGATGGGATTCAGTCCTTTTATTTAGTTCATCTCCCACCGGTGAATATTAAGATTTCCAGTTTTTGCTACTGTGAGCAAAGTGGCTCTGAACCCACCCTTACCTATATTCTTAGGCACCTGTACTTTTATTTTGCAGGCTTCTTAAAAGAGGATGGTGAAACCAAAGGACAGAGCTTTTGCAATCTTTATACTTACTTCTAGACTCCTATGAAGAAATGTGTGAGTTGTGACTCACTGCCATCACCTATGTTCCAAGCCTTCACTAGCAGTGGATGTTGTCCACTTTCATGAAAATATCAGCCAATCTCATCAAACAATGTCGTTTTAAATGTATCCCCTGACCCAAGAATCCTACCTCCCAGAGGATGCTCGTGACATCACAATTTGTAATGGAAAGTCACATATACCATTCTATGCAATTCCAATAAAATGCTAGCGAGATTTTCTGCAGAACAAAATAGCAAGTTAATCTTCAAATTCACACAGAAAAGTCAAAAGGCAAAGATAACTATGACAGTTGTGGATAAGAAGCAGCTATGGGGACTCAGCTTGTGAAGACACACTGGTAATCTGTGGCATTTAATAATGATGCTGGTGCACAGTAAGGGGCTGGGCTCAGAAAGACCCACAGTTATATGCAGGCCTGACTTTATATTTACACAAACACACATGCATACACAAGAACGTTCACACTCCTCAGTCAGTGAGGAAAAGGTCAGCTACACAATAAAGGTTATATATATGGAAAAAATGAAGTCCCTAATATTGCACAAACATGTGCTCACACATATCCACAGAGTCTCCTGGCAGAGATACAAGGGGGGCCCTCCCTCATCCCAAATGTTTACAGTTAAGGAAAAATATGAGAGAGGCCTGGTGCCTTTGAAAAAGGCGTGATAAAACATTAAAATCTATTAAGGAATGCTAGGTGCTGCTTACTCTTAGCATCTGTGGTTCACTTTTCTTTAAATATGAAATATTTTAGTAAAATTTTCATGTTAGAGAATTATTAAATTATAATGCAGTCATACAATGGAGTTAAGAAAAACTAAGCTCATAAAAGTTTCAAAAGATGTGTTAAAGGCTCAAAAATTAAGGAAAACGCAGGTTATAAACACATATACAGTTATCTAGACTAGAAAAAAAACCCACCAAAATGTTTACTGGATGATTAATTTGGGGTGGTGAAATTAAGCTGATTTTCCTATAGGTCTAATTTTTTAAAGCACAGTATCTGCATGAAGAAGATGGACTTAGAAGTGTACCAAACACGGAGTTTCCTTTCTAGCTCTGGATGGGGGAGGGAGGACAGAAGTTACAGTCAATAAGGCCCTAAGCTCTGTCCCCCAAATTGCTGAAGTGTCTAAAATTTTTGGAAAGTGCATCTGTTTCTTCAACAGAAAAGTAGAAAAGGAAGGAAAACAATGACCAAAA